AGAGTGCATTTAGATAGCGGTTTGTATGTGTTTTCTTCTGGTAGATGGTGTGTCCTAGGGAGCCATTGGATCTTTTGTATACCAAGACATCTAGGAAGGGAAGTTGATTGTTGGCTTCTGTTGGCTTCTGTCAACTTCCCTTTTCTTCCCTTTTTTCTTTTTTTTGTGGGAAATGGGTCCTAATGGCTCTTTGGGGGTTTAATATTCAAGAGGGAACACACAAATACATACACATACACATGAGAGAGAAAAATAGAGAGAAAAATGACACAGAGAGAGAGTGAGTGAAAGAGAAAGAGAGAGATGAGAGAAAGAGAGAGATGAAAGAGAAAGATATAAGAAAGAGTGGGGGAATAGAGAGAAAGAGAGAGAGAAAAAGAGAGATGAGAGAGAGAGAGAAAGAGAGGGAGAAAGAGACAGAGATGAGAGAGAGAAAGAGAGACAGACAGACAGACAGATGCACAGATGCAGACACAGACACACACAGATACCTGTTTCCCAAAGAAAAGAAAGTATCAGGAGCCATAAAACTTGTGTAGGCATGGGGGGTGGGTTCATGTGACTGGATAGAAGTGAGTGATGTCGAGTTAGCCACACTCACCCAGGTTTTGTGGCTCCTGGTACTTTTCTTTTTCTTTTCTGTGGGAAATGGGTCCAAATGGCTCTTTGAGGGTTTCAGGTTGCAGACCCCTGCTCAAGAAAGAGTGCAGAGAAGAAAAGATGATTAGGAAGGCTAAAACATACAAGGAACGGCTGTTGGAACTGGGTATGTCTTGTCTGATGAAAAGAAGGACTAGGGGTGACATGATAGCAGTGTTCCAATATCTCAGGGGCTGCCACAAAAAAGAGGGGGACAAGCTATTCTCCAAAGCACCTGAAGGAAGGACAAGAAGCAATGGGTGGAAACTGATCAAGGAGAAAAGCAACCTAGGAGAAATTTCCTGACAAGTTAGAACAATTCACAAGTGGAACAACTTGCTGCCAGAAGTCATAAATGCTCCAACACTGAAAGTCTTTTAGAACACATTGGCCAACCATTTGTCTGAAGTGGAGTAGGGTTTTCTGCCTAAGCAGGGAATTAGACTAGAAGACTTCCAAGGTCCCTTCCCACTCTGTTATTCTATTCTAACTCCATACTATACATATTCTTACTATTGCAAACACTTGTTGAAAGGCTGGAAAATGCCTTTCCTTTGAGGATTCGGTTTTCCTGCTGGGAGGGCTCCGGTGCAAGGACACAGACAACTGCTTGGAAGCGGGTTTATTTTTCAGGAAGGCAAGAGATAGCAAGAAGTCTGCGTTCCTGGGGCTAGCCATCTTTGTATAATAAACCCCTGATTTTTATACCTTTTCTCCTTTTGTGTGTGAGTGCTTGTGTTTGTATTTCTTAATGTTTTAAATCCTGTCAGGGGGTTGTCTTCATTTCCGCCAGAGGGTAAACTCTGCGGGGTGGTTTGATTGGATTATCAGTTTCATCCTAATGTTTTCTTATATTTGTTTGGTGGCAATCTCCTGTCTGCTATGGAATTTATTTCGTATCTTTTGTCTATTTGTTTTGCTGATTTGGCATGACCTTTTGTTTGTAAGGGATTTATTTTTCTTGTTTTCCTAGCTTTCTTAATTACTTGGCTTTTGTCTAGGGGGCTTCTTTCAATACCTTTTATTAAATCTCTTTTTCTATGCAAGTTTTTTTATGGCTGGCCTGATGTTCCCTTTGGGCTTTTCCTGCTTGGGTGTCACCACTGTCCTCATGAAGTTCCCTTTCCACACACTAAACCTGGATTTATATACTGTATTTCTTACCAGGTCTAGGTGCTCCTTCCAAAGGAACCTCAGTAAAATGTGACAAGCACTTTGGAAGTTATAGAAGTAGACATTAAACAGCATCTGATCTCTCTGTCACACCAGCCGAAAGGTTCTTGCGGTTAATGGCTAAAAGGAGAATGCATAAAAAAGCCTAATGTGGCCTCAAAGACATGGATATCAGCCACCCAACATCATATCATCAACCCCGTTGGCAACGAATGCCCAAAATATTCCAGGAAGAAAACAGAAGACAGTCTTTTAAAACTGCAACAGCTTACAGAGTTTAAAATATCTCCACCATGGACTGGGGGTGAGATGACAAGGTTATGAGGACACAATGTAAATGTGGTTTTCAGGGCATGTATGTGTGTGATGTTCATCTGCATGTGAGGATAAGCCTTATAATCACACAATTATTTGCAAAGTTCATCCTGGTAGGAAATGTTGGGGATTACAGACCAATTTTGATGGATGTGGGTTTTTCCCCCCTCTTAAATCTCGCTTCCTTCTTCCCACAAGAGGGCAGTAGAACCCAACCAGATATCAGCAAAATTCTCTTGTAAGACTAGAATAGAGTAGAGTAGAGTGGAGTAGAGTGGAGTGGAGTGGAGTGGAGTGGGGTAGGGTAGGGTAGGAATAGGCAGAGGAATAGGAATGGGAATGGAAATGGGAATGGGAATGGGAAAGAATAACAATAGGAATAGGATGAATAGAAGTAGAGTAAGGAATAGGAATAGAATGGAATGGAATCGGAATCAGAATCGGAATCGGAATAGGAATAGGAACAGAATAGAACAGAACCTCAATGGAAGGCAGGTTGGTTGAAATAGTGTTTTTTTTCTACAGTCCTAACTATCTATTGAAGTCTGTTCCTGCCCTGTTTGGCTGCTGTACCAAATCAGACAGTTATAGAAGTACAAATGACAGACTCAATAATTCCTCTGTAGAAATGTACCAGCAGCTGCTTGGGCAGGCTCAACTTTCTGAGTTGGTGAAGGAGGAACATTTTTTGTTGTGCCTTTTTAATAACTTTCTAATCAGTGATGGGATTCAAAAGTTTTCACTACCAGTTCTGTGGGCGTGGCTTGGTGGGCGTGGCAGGGAAAGGATACTGTAAAATCTCCAGTCAGAGGTGGTATTTGGCAGTTCTCTGAACTACTCAAAATTTCCGCTAACGGTTCTTCAGAACTGGTCAGAACCTGGTGAATACCACCTCTGGTTCTAATGTTAGGTGTCTATTTCAAATCCTGGGAGAATGTACAACCCAGAAAGCTGAAGCTTGTGGCATTTTTTGCCCTCCTTTGGATCTCTGAAACTTCTGCCTGATAGGACAGACTAGAAATGTCTAGAAATCTTTGAGTGATGACTCTATTCCTTGATGTAGAAATAATAATCAATAGTCAAAAGGATGGACAGCAATACCTTCAGAGTAAAGGTAAGAAACCTTGGCATTGTGGGAAGCAAGAGAAGGAGGCTTGTTTTTGTTTCCCATGGTCTTATCAAGAGAGTGACATAGGTAGTCCTTGACTTACAACAGTTCATTTAGTGACCATTCAAAGTTACAACAGCACTGGAAAATGTGACTTGTGACCATCTTTCAAAGGTACAACCTTTCTTACATCCCCATGATCATGCCATCAAAATTCAAATGCTTGGTAGCTGGTTCATACTTATGACTGTGGCTGTGTTCCAAGGTCACATGATTTCTTTTTGTGACCACCTAGAGAGCAAAGTCAGTGAGGAACCAGATTCCCTTAACACAGGGGTGTCCAACCTTTCACCTTCCCTGGGCCACATTAGAAGATGAAAATTTGGTTTGGGCTGCACATAAAATAAAATAACAGTAACGACACCTGATCATCCAAAAAAACCATAGAAAACATAATTAACATATTAAATGGAAATGAAGTTAGTGAGATGTTTTTATTATTTATTATTAATTATTTATTAAAAATTATTTATTTTTTATCACGGTTTATCACCGTTTACTTTCTGGCCAAATTTTGTGGGGGAGGGGGGAAGAAAGCTCGCCCGCCTCGCGCCTACCTCTCCTCCTGCAAATGGCCCGGGTGGATGAGGCAGGACTGGAAGGCAGAAGCAGCAGTGGTGGCAGCAGAAGCGGCGGCGGGGGCAGAAGCGGCGGCGGCAGAAGCAGCAGCAGTGGTGGGGGCAGAAGCGGCGGCAGTGGCGGGGGCAGAAGCAGCAGCGGCACCTGCCTCTCCTCCTCCTCCTCGCTGGCTCTGGCACAAAGGTTGGGGTGGGCACTGGGCCGCATTACGAGGCGATCTGGGCCGCACGCGGCCCATGGGCCGTGGGTTGGACAAGCCTGCCTTAACAGCTGGGGTTGCTCCTTCATCCACTACACTGTTTCATTGAACCACGGTGGGGGGAAAAAGTGGCCAAAGGGGGAAAAAACTTGCCTAAGCAATGTCTACTTAACAACATAAACTTTTGGGTCAATTGTCATCATAAGTCAAGGACTTACCTGAAACATCCTGAATTTGAGCTTGACCTCTGGTGCTGAAAAGTCGATAAGAAGGTTTCAGTTTTCTTGGCAGAGTTAGGAAGGGGATTTCCTCTGTTTGCAGAATACCTATTTTGCTTCCTAGTTTAGTTTAATTTGTTTCCTCAATAGTGTGTGTGTGTGTGTGTGTGTGTGTGTGTGTGTGTGTGTATTAAGACAAAGTTTCTATCTTCTGGGTTTGTGGTATTCTCTTCCTTTGATCTATGTAAGTCAAAGCAGAGCTGTGCAAATCTTCAGTCCCCAGAAAGTCTGAGCAAGAAATCACCCAAAAAACTGTAGCTGGGCTGTCATTTTTCTCTGTTTTAGTTGACAGAGTTGCCCTGCCTGTTTCAGAGAAAGGAAGAAGGATGGGAGATCTGGGGAGTGGGATTGTTGCCTTGCTGTTGGCCATCTCCACAGGTATCCTTTTCATCTTATTTTTTTCATGTATTATCGGAAATCATGTTTAGGCTAACTTTTTAATCAAGCAAGGTCTCCTCAAAGTGATTTTGGAGCTGAATTTTTCAAAAGCCATTAAAAAGAAAAGAAAACCAGCAAAAGCATCAAATAGAACCATTTTGTTTAAATACTTCAGAGTGTGGACATAGGATTGCAAACCAAATGATAATGGCTCCTTTGGAAATTTTAAAGGTTCAAACTAACTAAACTTATTGGTGATTTCTTTCTTTCTTTCTTTCTTTCTTTCTTTCTTTCTTTCTTTCTTT